AAAAAAAAAAAAAAAAAAAAAAAAAAAAAAAAAAAAAAAAAAAAAACTTTGAGTTTTATTTCTAATACTTTGGGGAAAAAAACATACTCATTGGTGTTGCAAAGACCTACATTCACTTCCAGGGCCTTCTTCACCTTCTACTGTAGGCTGATATTTTCTCCAGTCTCACGGTCCCCCCAAAGAGGACTACTGGTCTTAAACATCTAGCACGAGACACTTTAAATGGCTCATAAAATATTTTTATGTAAGTATATCAGTGGTGCTGAGAGATGATAATTTCCAAGCATGTCATGTCCTCCAGGGTGACTTTCACAATTGAGTCCCCATTTTACATTTGTCTTTGATGGGTCTCAATATCAAAGTACAACTTGAACCACCAGCATGAATACAACCAACTTGGCCAGAGTCTTCGGGGAGCCCTGTGCATGGCCTGGAGGCGCAGCCCAGTGGTCCTCATGAAGGATTTGTTCTGCCTGTGAATAGGCCCCTTCTTTTGTCCACAGAGGAAGAAAGGGGCTTTGAGTCTCCATTGTACAATAGATAACTGCAGAATTGTGCTCAACTGTCATTTTTTTTAAGGCATAAACGGCCTATTGGAGTTTTCATTTTGGCAGAAGACAGACTTTCAAGTTTGTGGAGCTCCCAGGACTGCCTGGATGTCATCAGCCAAAATAGGCTCATGCAGGCGTCCAGCACAGCCTGATCTGGTGACTATAGTTCCTGAAAAAAGTCTTTCTTCATTTAGCCCAACCAAATGTACCTTTCACCAGAAGACAGTCCCTTAAAACTCACAAACACCCTCAAAGAACATGCCTAGACAGCCAGGAGCCACACTCACTTGTGGAGGGTCCAAGGTTACAATGCAGAGAGCACAAAGAAACTTTGAGACACATGAAGAAAAATTAAAGACGTGAAGTCTGAGAGTATAAGCCATGAGAGGTGGAGGTACGGCTCCTGGGGGAGAGTACACATGGAGACCAGCAACCCTCTGCTTGGAAATCTGGTTCTGCCATCCTGTCTATAGAGTGTATATGAGCAAGGGTCATAACTGCATCTGAAATCATTTCCTTGGGCTGGTGATGTTGCTCAGTGGTCAAATACTTGATTGGCACACATAAAGTCCTGGGTTCAATTCTTAGCAACACACATACACACACACACACAAAAAAAAACCCTCACATTTTTTAATCTATGTTCCATTTGTTGGAGGTAATAATAGGTAAATTTCCATTTTTAAGAGGAATTATGTCCTAACCATCTACCATAAACGCTCTGACTCATTCTAAGCCTGTGAACTGGGTAGACACCACAACTTGGACTTACGGTCAAAGATTCTTTCCCTGTCCCTCAAAATACACAGCAAGAGAAATTTTTGTGGGAATTATTTGGAAGCCGAGGGAACAAAAGAGCATTTCAGAACGATGCCAAACACCGGTGCCCATGCTGCTCCTGTGAGTGTGCCAGGGAAAGAGAAAGCAGGTGAGAGACAGAACAAGGAGAACCTGTGATTTGGACACATGGGCAAAACCTCAGGACTCCCGCTTAGCCCTGCTGGCTAGGATGGCCTATGCTCTGCCTCACAGTGAGTCAGGTTGGTGCAGGGCCCAGTTGCAGCTGAAACCAAGGGCCACTACTGCCTCCTACTGACAGCTCTCTTCTAGAAGTTTCTGGATGTCCAGGAGGTCTGTCAGAAATCCTCCAGTGCTCAGTCTCAATTTCTACAAATTTAATACTAATGAAATCAACCTAAAATAAGTTGATTGATACTCAACAATAAAGTGACTTAATGGTGAAGAAAATCTAGCCCTTTAATTTGGGTTATAATGAACAAACTCCTGAAGAACTAGGTAAGACTATTGGAATGGCAACAATTTAAGTAAAGAGACCTCTTCTTAACATATCTACTGAGAAAAACTGGCTAAACAGAAGGAAAATTCTTCTTTTTTTGTTTTTGTTTTTGTTTTTCAAAGCAGGGTTTCTTCGTGTAGCCTTAGCTGTCCTGGAATTCGATCTGTAAATCAGACTGGCCTTGGAACCAGGAGAGATCCACCTGCCTCAGCCTCCCGAGTGCTGGGATTAAAGGTATGCACCACTACCACAGCCTGGGGCAAATTCATTTTTAAAGAAGGTGGACATGAAGAAAAAGGCAAATTGTAGGCATTATCATCTATTAACAGAGGATTTTATTAAATGAACAGCCATCGTTTTGCAGAAATTAAAAGATACTATGAGGCTCAAGAGTCGGTCTCAACCTAATACAAGGACAAAGTCACAAAAGTTTTTAATTGTAGAGCAACCGCTCTACAAATTCCACACACAGTTTGTGAAGCCCCTGTTGTGGAGCAAACAGGTGAAGGATGAGCCGGTCTTGGAGTATGCTCACTAGAGTCACATTTGCACAAATGGCTGTTCTGGGTACTTACGCTGACTCAACAAGGCATCTGAACAAAAAGCCCCAATTACCATTGTTGCTGCTGGAAATCAGAGGCTGGCGTTGGCATGACGAACTGCCGCAGTGCAAACACTTGCAGAGTCTACAAAGTCCTTAAATGTCTGAAGTCTGTATGCATGCTTATGTGTCCCCGCGCGTCACCAGCTCCATGAGGGATGCTGAAGAAAGCCCCACAGTCGGAAGCCAGGCTCACGCTGAGCTCAGGCCCAAACTGAAAGCAGACACTGGAAATTAAGCCTTGTTGAGGAACCTGAGTATCTCAGCTACAGCACAAAGGGCAGTGGGGGACAATGACCAGCCACCGCCAAGGAGGAGGAGGAGGGTTAGAGTTGGTTAGAGTTGGTACTCATGAACGTGTAATAAAAATGAAAAATAAAAAAGATCCTAACCCACATGACTCCCGTGAGCACAGAGTGCCTCCCCCAGTACCTCCAATGATCTGCTCACCATCATGTATTTTAATCTGGAAGTTGTTTTCTTCTTTAATTTTATTTTAAAGGCAGAGGCATGCAGATGCCACCTTCACCGACTGGCTGAAGATGGGAGCTCATGGACTCTAACCCAACAAGTGGGGAGCCTGAATGGGACTGAACTAAGCCGTTGCATGTGAATGACAGTCATGTGACTTGGTCTGTTTGTGGGGACCCTGGCAATGGAACCAAAATCTATCCCTGGTGCATGAGCTGGCTTTTTGGAGCCCATTCTCTATGGTGGGATTTCATGTTCAGCCTTAATGCAGGGGGAAGGGGCTTGGTCTTGCCCCAACTTGATGTGCCAGGCTTTGTTGACTCCCCATGGGAGCCCTTACCCTTTCTGAGGAGTGGATGGGGTGGGAGAGAGGGAACAGGAGATGGGGAGGAGGGGAAACTGTGGTTGGTATGTAAAATGAATTTTAAAAAAAGACAGACACACCCAAGACCAGGTGCTAAGAACCACTGAACATGTATACCGACTTATCACCTAGGAAAGTGAGGCAGAAATATTAGAAACCACCACCAATAAGTTCCGGATGGCATGCCTCACTGGAAACCACAGTGAAGAAACACAGAAGGTCAGGATCAGAGCATCTGTGACGCAGACCTTGCTGGGACAGAGGCACCATGCAGTAAGATACAGCAAGGACTACATCTCCCAGTGGCAATCCCGTCTATAACCAGGGTCCTTCCACTTACAAGGAGGAGCCCTCACCCTTCCCACTAGGGCCCACCACTACAGTACCACAGAACAACCACTCTTTCTTAGGGGGTTAATTTCTGGCATGTGAATTTTCTTTTAGTTTTTCATTTAGTTACATTAAATTTTTTTTCATGAACATATATTGTACATTGAACATATTTCCTACTGTGCCATCACCTCCTTCCTCTTTCTCCCCTTTGTTCCCCCAGACAGTTCCTTGTCTACTTCCGTTTTATGTTTGCGTACATAATCTGATGTAACTGCATAAAATCTAGAAACCACAAATGGAAGACAACATAGGACAGCTGTCCTTCTGAAACTGGCTTAATTCACCTACTATGATCAGTTCCGGTTGTGTCTGTCTGTCTGAAAACAAGGTAATGTCATTCTCTTGGACGTCTTTCATTGGCTGAAAACAACTATATTGTGTATATATATATATACCACAACTTTCAAATCCATTTCTCTGTGGTTGAACATAAGTTGGTCCCATAACTTAGCTACTGTGAACTGCCACGGGAATGTTGATGGACACTTTCCAAAGCACAGCAACACACGCAGACTGACAGAAGTGTCAGAGACCCTGACAGAACTCTGCATCAAAGAGCACAAGGCTGTGCTTGCTTGCTTGCTTGCTTGCTTGCTTGCTTTTTAATCCTCCGAAACCATGCTGAGTCCCTTCGTCTAACCTTACCGCCACCACGATTAGGAAGCAAGCCTCTGTACTTTTTCCTAATGTATGGAAAACACAGAAAGCATAATCCACGTAAGGCGGCCCAGCATGTAGCTGAGACCAGACCTGTCCACACCAGGCGTGGGCCTGGAGTCACTTGAACGCCTCTAGAACACTCTTTCAGGGACTCAGATCCTCTTGTCTGACTTCTGTTCTCATCAGCAGTCTTCTGGCTACCCGGCTTTCCCAAAACACTCCATCTCTAAAGGAACACTCACTCGGGGACAGTCAGAGACCAGAGCTCCCGGTCACATCACCAGGTATAAACCATGCTGACGCGATGAGATGGCCCAGACCCTGTCCATGCCACTTCCATTATTCGGGCTTCCTGAGGACACCATGTTTTCTGTGCTTCCTTAGAGTTCATAGTTTACAGCTCTGCCCTGCCTATGCTTTTTTCTCAATGGTCCACCTCCCAGAAACACCAAGCCCTGTCATTGTGAGAAACGCTTGAAGCAAATGCTGGGCAGTGAGAAATGCCACCATGCACCTACCCAGCATGCCTCCCGGCTCTAAATCCACACAAACAAGGGAAGTCGAAAACTGTCACCGCTGAGAGCGGCTGAAGGACTAAGGTGGCGGATGCAGTAAGGTGGCTGAGTAGAGCCCCAGAACTGGAAAACAGCATCAAACAGTGGCTCAGGAATCCTGTGGAGAGTGTGGGCTGAGGAGGAGGAGGAATGTGCTTCACCAGCTGCAATGAAAGAACACAGCTAGGCCGGATGCTCAAAGCAAGGGAAAGGAAGGTGGAGGCAATGTTCCTTCATAGGCATTTCATGGAAGCAGCTATTTGGTTTCTCTCTCTGTGTGTTCATTTTCTGATGTCCACGCTGGCATAAATTAGGTATCCCCAACCATCCTTTCTTAAGTGGCACAGATATATATATATATATATATATTATATAGCCAAATCAGTTCTTTTTTAAAAAAAAAAAAGAGTTCCTACAAACGCTAACTTCACTGGACTATTAATCCTCAACTTTCTCGTCTTATCTCTCATACCTACAGTGACCTCTCACCACTGCCCTAACCTGGAAGCATCTACCTCCCTTAGGGCAGATGACGGTCAAGACGAGGGAGCGGATGAAGCCCTAGTGAGGCAGAGACCAAGTAGCTTCACACCTAGAAGGCTTTTGTCCTTCCTTCTCCTCTCCTCCTCTCTCAAGCCCTCTGAACTGACAGCACAACCAGCCCTTCCGGAACTTTCCAAGGGACTTCTGTACCCCACTGTTACCCACTCTTCCACCTGTCACAAATCTGAGGGAAACCATTGAACAAAGACCCCTCTCTCCTCACTGCCGTTTCCTCACACAAGTGACCTCAAATCCACTGCCTGGCCACCATTGAGACGTATTTATCCTCTGAGTGGCTTCCCCATCTTGTCCTCATCTCTAGTGTCACTGTAATTTCTGTCATTGTTCCTCACGCTTACAAACCATTATAGAGACTTAGGTCCCTGTCATAGAGTATGTGATCCGCATGGACAACTCGCCACCCGCCCACCGCCCGGCCATCCATTCACCGCACCGCCGGAGGAGAAATTCCCTACCTTTCACTGAGGCTTCTCCACAACTGCGCACCTGCAATAGGAAGTAAAATGTGAAACTTAAGCAAGCTGTCACTTCCCAGGAGCATTTGCCAGCTTAAAAACCTCCCAAACTTCTTCAAGCAGGCATTTACAGGCAAACCATACAGTGTCCATGTCTGCTCCCATGGCAGAAGCAGGTGATAGTCTCCAGAACACCTGAGTACATGTCATAAAGGCAGGACACTCTAGAACGCTGTCCCACCCCAGGTACCTTACTGACCAGTAGGGCAGAAAATATGTGCTCAAGGAAAAGTGCTGTCAAAGGATCAGTGTAGGACTCCACAAGAGGGGTTAACCATCGTACGTCAGAAAGGACAGAAGGCGTGACTTGTCAAGGAGGAAAAATGGTAGAAAGACTGAAGGGGAAACTGGCATGGTGTACTCTTTAGATATTGAAAACTTATATCTAAGCTCCAATGATATCAACAGAAAAAAGGTAATTGACAATAATGATGAAGATAGATAACAGAAAGATGATAGATACATACATAGATAGATAGATAGATAGATAGATAGATAGATAGATAGGTGGATAGAAGGATAGATAGACAGACAGAGATTTGCTTTTTAAAACTGTAGGGACTACCTCTATTGGACCAAGTCTTGGCAGTACACTCCCAGCTACCAGATTTAAGGAAGCTCAGTAAACAACCACGAGAAGTTTTCTACACTTTTCATCAAGTCAAAGGTCAAAGGTATTGCCCTGTGTATTCTTGAATTTTCCCTATCAAGTGTACATCCCCTATCAAATTCTTCATAACATTCACTGCTAGAAAAACATTGCTTATGGCTTCCCATTCTTTGGACAATTTGAATTATGCAATGGATCTGGTTTCCTTTATTGTCTTGGTTTCATGACCATAGGGACGCATTGTTCATGTTAAGAGACTAGAGGTCCTCTGTTAGGTCTCTGAAACAACTGTTTCCTGTACCTTCTAGAATAACTCAAATTTCATGGAGTTGAACAACATGTAATGAAGTCAACTTAACCCCCGTTGCTAAGCGATACTTTGGACTCAGCTAGAGGTGGATACGAATAGAAACATACCAGTCTCCTCTCACCTCATGTTAGTCTAACTTCCCTCTTCACCACATTTCCCCAACAATTCTGGAGCCAACAGTAGAGACAGAGAGGTTAGCATGAGATGCTGGCCTTTTGTCAAGAATTGCAGAGGTGATTATGGCTGAGGTCCAAGAGAACAAGGAGACTGAAATCTCTTCCAGTGCGGACTGCGTAGAGGAAGGAAGTTCTGACACAGATGGCGTCAAAGCTCAGCATAATTGGAAAGGGCTAAGGAGGGAAAGAGTAAAGAGTTGCTTCCACAGGAACAGAGAGACCTGGACGGTGAGCAGAGCGTGCTGGCTCCGGGGCTTCTCGGGTGGTGGCTTGACAGAGATTCCAAGGCCTGTGTGAGGACAAGTGGCTACCACTCAGGCTTCTGAACCCAGGCCTTAGTTACGCCAAGTCAGAAGAACCGTAAAGGAAGAGCATGTGAAGAACTAGAGACCATGAGTCCAGTCTCAACTAGGTCTAACCGCAACAGTCAAGAGACTGCAGGCTGTGGCATCATAGCTAATGTGGATCTCACAGAAGAGAAGACAGAAAAACACAGAGGTTATAAAAACCACACCAACACAGCTGTGGGCAGAGGCAGGGGCACCTACTTTCCTCACAGATAGTACCTGAAGGTCTGAGATGGAGAAGGCTGACCCTAGTTAGCATGAGGGGAAAGGACAAGGTGGTCACAGGCAAGTTTGAGGATGCAGGGGGGGTTCTACACACTGCAGAAGATCGCCTCGGAACCTGTTGGTGAGCAGCAATGCGGGGGTGCACGAGAGCCGCCAGTAAGGTGGGAGTCCACACTTTCCAGGTCTGCTGCAGACAGAGGAGCCTGCGCAGCTGGAGGCTGCAGCGACTCACAGACCACAGGCCTGGGTCCCTGCAGCATCCACAAAGACAGACAAACGGACATGACTGCATCTCTGCTCTCTTTCGTTTCTTTCTCATGAAGTACCTGGGTGTGTCAGAGAGAATGGCGGGGAGCAGAAAGGAGACAGGGTGGGGTTTGCTTGCTTTCCTGTGGGGGGTAGAGCGCTTGTCTCCTGAGATGAAAAAGGTCACAATCAGCTATTCAGTAATGCGCACACAAAATGTGGGAAGTGTCATACAAATATATTTGGGGGAAGGGAAGAGCTAAGCTCATAACCGGCAAGGTCCGTATCTTTAGCCAACAATATGGAAAGTGGGCAGACGAGAGAGGGAACGAGACAGAAGGTTCCAGAAAGCTCTGCTGACCAAGGCTTCACTGGCTGCTGTTGTCAGCATAAGAGGGGCTTCTGAGAATGACTGACAGCTCTGGCCAGAGCTACGGCACTACCACAGATGCCTCCACAGAGATCGTGCAACGAAGTCGACATGTTCCTGAGAGCAGCCTGTTGCAGCCAGCTCTGTCTCGGGGCTGGAAACCCTGCTGCTGTCTCCAGCCAGCTATTCATGCAGCTCAATTGAGCCTTTGTAAAGGAGGCCAAAGAAGGCCCTAGGGTCTCTCCAGCCAGTGACTGGGGAGTTCTGGGAAAGCAGCAGAAGGAAGTCTATCTTTTTTCTTCTTTTTTTCATGTATAGAAATGCTCTGTTCAGAACATTATTCAATGGAAACCCTGAGAGAGAAAGATGGGCCTGTTGCAGAGGTGGGGGGTGAGGGCAGAGGCCAGCCTGAAGGCACCCCCATTAGAAGCTGGTGCTTCTAACTAGCCTTGGCACAAAAGACGCTCAACGTAGTCTGGCTGTTGAGAAGACAGAGTCCCAGATATCCTGACTATGCCAGCAAAACAGAGAGACTGCCCCTGGAGGGCCTGTTCACGCACTGTAGCCTTTTACCTGGACCGAATTCAAGTCTGCAGCGTGAGTGTGGGCTCTCTGCTATGATAGAACCAAGCGGCTCAGTCATCAAAGCAGGCTGAGCATCCGTGAGCACTGCTTCATAGAGAAAAGGGGGCTTGACAGGTGCCCCCTGGCTAAGAACAGAGAAGACTCTCGGTCACCCCGGTGGGCACCCGTTACAATCACAAGCGTTCTTTGTAGCGTGCATGGAGGGAGGTCCGACGTAAGCACAAGAGAAGCTGATGTGGTCGTGGAGGCTGGGACAGTGATGATAGACTTGCAAAGCCACCCGGTAACGCCACCAATCCAAGTCAGGAAGAGAGCAGGAAGGGTCTGTCCCTAGAGCCCCCAGGACGAATGCAGACCTGCCAATGTGTTGTCAGACTGGTGGCTTCCAGAGCCATGTCAGAAGTACTGTCTACTGTTGGGGTAGCACAGCCACAGGAAAGCATCTACGGTGTGGCTTCTCTGTAGCTAGGAATGGACATGAACTAGCTCAAGAACTATTCCTTGTCACCCTTGGTTTTTGCACTCCTGGGGACCAGACCCAAGGCCTGAGCTTGTTGGTAAGCGGTGCACTGCTGAGCTAGATCCCCTTTTTTATTTTAAGACAGGATCTCAATCAGCAGCCCCATTGTGGCTTTGTACTTCCTCTCCAGTCCAGGGAGGCCTCAAACTTGTGATCTTCCTGCCTGAGCCCCAAGCAGCTGGAGTTCCAGGCTGGCTTTGTCAGCCCTGACCTAAGAGTTAGAGGGTCTCCAGGCTGGTAGACGTCAACTCCACCTCATGAAGGTTTTCAAGGACAGTTTTGCCTGTTGAAGGTTTTCAATGATATTGTTTGCAAATAAATACGTTCTCCACTGTGCAACCACAAAAACGGCTGGTTAAACTGCACACTGACGACCTTGAAGGGTCTAGGGCAATAGAGACAGAGGCCTCTGAACAGCCCCGTTTTCAACTCTGGCCCTCACTCAGAAGCCAAGTCCTCCATTTCATGCCCCTCTCCTCATTTGTCCATTCTTTCTAACTTGTCCCTAAGTGATGGGCAAAGTGAGGATACAGCAGAAAATACTAAGACGCCCAACTTCCTGAGCGGTCTGCTCGCTCTAAAGGCTGCTGAACACACCTGCGAATGACTCTGTCTTCTCGCATTCTCCTCAGGGAAGAACGTGTCACAAAATACGTTCAGGAAAATGGAGTCCTTCTCTACTGGCTACAAACCAAGGCAGAAATGCAGGGCTTTCCAGGGCCGGACCAACTCCTCCACAGGCCTAGAGAAGCCTTAGTGCAGCCGGGATACAGCAGTGAATGCTGTTGGGCTGAAGGTGAGGGAATTGGGTGCCTCTTCTCTGAAGGGGGGGTGGGAGAGGAAAGAAAAAAGAGAGGGAGAAGAGGGTGTGTGTGTGTGTGTGTGTGTGTGTGTGTGTGATGTGTAATTCCCCTCTGTATGCTGTGAATATGTTTTATTACCATTGGTTAATAAGGAAGTTGCTTTGACCTATGGCAGGGCAGACTATAGCTAGGCAGGAAATCTAAGCAAAGATAGAGGAGGAAAGAAGACAGAGTCAGAAAGTCGCCATGTAGCCACCTAAGAAGCAAGAGGTAACAAGCCTCGTGGTAAAATATTTACAGTTAAATATTTACTCCGTCCTACAAGCTCACACTGGGCCACTGGGAAATGAGCGTGTTTATGGGCAGCTTCCTTTCACCTCCGTGAAGGAAAGCAAAGCTTAAAATGACTGAACGTTGCATAAAACTTTTGAATCATTAATGACGTTGAAAAGAGAGCCAAGTGTAAACACTACATTTAAAAGTGAGAGCTTGGGTCATTTGTAATGATTGATTAGTGTCTTTAGGAGCTATGTAACTATGGTCAAACCCGAGTGAAGCTTCCCTATGCCTCGTCCACTACTGTTTGAACTCGGGCAAAAATCTCCCCGAGATACAATGTGCCCTACGAGTCTACGTGTAGTAAGATCGATTTGATTGAAATCACAAAGAGAAGACTTTGGTTAGAGTTCGAGGAACTGCTGTGCATAGGAACCGCTGTGCATAGGAACCGCTGTGCATAGGAACCGCTGTGCATAGGAACCGCTGTGCATAGGAACCGCTGTGCATAGGAACCGCTGTGCATTGGAACCGCTGTGCATAGGAACCGCTGTGCATAGGAACCGCTGTGCATAGGAACCGCTGTGCATAGGAACCGCTGTGCATAGGAACTGCCTGATTCCCCACCGTGCGGGACTTTTACGAAAGAGGCACCATCTCTCAAATAAGAACTTGAGCATCAGAATGAAAGTTCTGTGATTTTATCGGCGTGGTGTTCATGGGTCAGCTTTAAAGCTGGCTCATGTGTATGTCTGCCCAGTTGTAAAGCCAAACCACCATAGAAGCAATTTTTAGAAAAATTGTTTTACATTGGTGTGTTCAGGTTTGGAGGTAATACCTAGCCTTGCTGGGAAGATAAATTCATTTTAGTCTAGTTCAGGTATTTTACAAACCCATGAAAGTAAATAACATTCGTGTGTGTGTGTGTGTGTGTGTGTGTGTGTGTGTGTGTGTAACCCAAACTATATGTTGATTCATTCCTATAATCCTAGCACTCAGCAAACTAAAACCACTGAGAGTTCCAGACCAATCTGGGTACAGAGCAAGGCCGCATCTCCGAAGCCCAGAGGAAGGGAGGGAAGGGACAGAGGAAAAGGGAAGTGAAGAGAGCAATGTCTGCTTGAGCCTCCTGTTCAAAGGGTCCATATGTCGGCAAAAAACTAGACGTTTAGACTCTAGAAATAAAATGCACCCAAGTTAAGTCTGAGTGTTCTTACCTCTTGTCCTAGACAAAACCATGTCCTTGATGATTTGCATGATCACACGCCCAAGCAGAGTGACGGAAATGAGATGGTAAACTCTCCACGGAGTCAACGCAAGGAACCTGTGACCACAAGAAACAGACAAATCACCTTCTCAGTGTGAAGCTTTTCATTTTTCTTTTCAATCTAAGTTGACTTTCACAGAAACAAGCCTAGTCTCTAATTTGAACAGAGGATTCTCTCTCTTGGGTCTTACTTTGGGTGCTGCAGTGGGGACGGAAATGACCTGGAACTGAGTTTTTAACTGACCGGAGAGCCAGGGTTACAGGATGCTCTACCAACATGGGGCAGCTGGGGGGATGCCCTGTCTGTTAAGAATGGCATTAGGAGGGATTGGTAAAGGGTTAAAACCCTTGCTGCAAAACTGATGACAGGGTCAGATCTCCAGAATCCCCGTGGGGAAGGAAAGGGCCAGATTGCTCAAGTGGCCTGACCTCTATATGTGTGCTCCCGTGTGCCCCACCCTTACATAAAATAAAGGTCATTTCCAGCTACTGTGTGTGAGGACTAGAGTTGGGATCTCCAGAAACCATGCAAAAGCCAAGCAGGTATGGTGGCTGCCAATATTCCCAGCACTCTGGTGACAGTAACAGGGAATCCCTGGTCTAAGCTGTTAAGAGAGACTTGCCAGAATTGCAAACTTTGGGTTCAGAAACAAACTCTGCCTTGATAAATATAGTAGAGGACAATTGAGTAAGACTTCTAATGTCAACTTTGGGCCTTCACACACACACACACACACACACACACACACACACATCTGCATACAAGGAAACACCCATGCACACAAACTCACACACACACATGCAAAATATAATAGCATTAAGGATCCAACATGTTAGCACTTCCTCTTTTAAGAACACTACCCTCTAATTCCCTTCCCATAATGACCGCATTATATCTGCAAAATGTTTGGACAGACCTACAAAGAGGACTAGCCAAGATGTCAGGAGCTTTGGCTCTTCTATGAGACTAGAGGATAAGGCCTGCTTGTCACACATTAATTGGCCAAGGTGATAACTGACGTTAACCTGGATGTACTCAGAGACCCTGAAAAAGGTTAGCTTAACAAATGGTGCCAGGCGGTGGAGGCACACACCTTTAATCCCAGCACTCGGGAGGCAAAGATGCAAAAACAGGAGGATCTCTGTGGGTTTGAGGCCAGCCTGGTCTACAAGAACTAGTTCCAGGACAGGCATCAAAGCTACAGAAAAACCCTGTCTTGAAAAACCAAACCAAAAAAAAAAAAAAAATGTTTAATGGCATGGCCCTATAAAGAAGAGCCAGGTGCAATGGCACACACCTTTAATTCCAGCACTCAAAGAGGCAGAGGTAGGAGGATCTATGTGAGTTCGAGTCCAGCCTAGTCTACAGAGTGAGTTCCAGGACAGCCAGGACTACAGAGAAAGATCCAGACTCAAAACCAAAGAGCAAGAGAGAGAGAAGATATATGTATACTGCTTGCTGTGAACTTCATAACCAGACAAACACAGACTAAGCCAGCAAAGCCAACCAAAGAAGGCGTCCTCAACTGATTAAAAAGGAGAGAGTGAGCCAAGTACAGCATTCATCACTGGCTCCTGGCTGTGGGTGCCATGTGACCAGCTGACACAGGATCTTGCCGCCAGGCCTTACTTAGCCATGGGACTGTGTCGTCCTAAACCACGAGCCCAAATAAATTCTTCCTTTAAATTTATTTCATTGGGTATTTTAAAGATAGGGTTCTGACCTTTATGCCACAGGCTATAGAGAGAAAGTACAGGGTATAGATCAGGGAGCAAGAAAATAAAACGCTAAGTGATTTGGGAGGGTAAGCTGGGCTAGGAAGGAAATATGTCATCAGCCACCTTCTACAGTGCTATGCAATATATTTCGTCAGTGACTCTACGTAAGATTTTGGGTCACGTTGTAAATAATGCCCTGCATCAGAAAGGGACACACAACCCATCTTCTATTCTGGTTCCAAGGCTAACTGCCTATGTGACTGGGGACAGTAAAATGAACAGGTAGACAAGGTCAGTGCTTCTAAATCAGTGTTCTGCAGCTGTCTCGGTCAGGGTTTCTCTTGCTGGGATAGAGCACCGTGACTCAGAGCTCATGGAGAGGAAAGGGGTCATGCTGTCTGCACTTCACCATCACCAAAAGGAGTCAGGGCAGGAACCTGGAGGCAGGAGCTGATGCAGAAGCCATGGAGAAACACTGCTTACTGGATTGCTCCCCATGACTTGCTCAGTCGGCTTTCTTATAAAACCAGGACCACCAGCCACAGCCCCACCCACAGTGGGCTGGGCCCTCCTCCATGAGTTACTAATTAAGAAAATGCCCAACATTCTTGCCTACCGTTAGATCTTATGGAGGCATTTTCTCAACTGAGGTTACCTCCTCTCAGATGACTTTAGTTTACATCAAGTTGACATCAAACCATGCAGCACAGGGCCACAACATTATTTTTTTTTGCCTTTTAAATTTGTTTTAACACATGCTGTGTTTCGATGTCTGTTTTTTTCCAAGCCTATCTCTTTAGCCTGAGTTTATAATTAACCCGTGCCATTGTCCATGGGCTAGATTCTTCAGGACTTCTCCAAATTATATTAAAACGGCAGCTCTCAAGATTTTTATTAGAAATCCACTATAAGAAAATTCTTTCTTCAAAATATTTCCTTTTTTATTGTACACAGTGCAATACATTTTCATAGCGTATATCCACGACACTGAGCAAGAGATGTATTCACAATGAAACATTTCGTAGTGAAGCCCAAGTTTCAGGAGGCAATGTATGTCCTGAGTTCCTGTCCAACTTCAGATCCATCGAATCTCTTCACCCGCGGACCTGACTCAAATGCACTAATGAGTTGTAACGCATGTGGGTCAAGTGTTGGGTTAGCATTTGTCAGGGGAATTGCCTTTGCTGAGTAGTAAGGGCCCTAGAAGAGAGCAAATGCTCGCCCAAGTTTAAACCTCTTCAGAGCCAGCCAGGGAGCCATTTCAGTCTCCTGCTGACTATAAAGAAACACAGACTTAGCTGAAGCTCTGGAAGTCACTGCTTGCTCTCCTTGTGGGAATTCCAACTTCCAGGAATTAATGAAAAGAAAAAAATAGGTAATGACAGAACATTAACCCACAGACCTCCTTTGGCGAGCTCTGCCATAGCAACACCAAAAAAACACTCTAGACGCCTTTTTCTGTGTCCTGGGCAAAGGCCCAGCTGGCATCTCAGCGAAGGGTCTTGTTGGTCATTAAGAATCCATGATCAGCTGAGAAGGCAGCATCAACAGTTGCTTGGAAACTGATTCCAAAATGTGTGGGACTGCTTAACACATCCTTGGTAGGTTACTGTCTGTTGGTCCAAAGGATGAGACTAGAGAAGCAAATATTAAAGGTAAATAAATACACATACAGAAAAATCTGTGTACATTTGGCGTCTCAATCATGTATCATGTTTAATATAAGTCAAGTCCCCACTGTTCTTTAAATCCATAGTTCTACAATTTATACTTAGGATTTGAAATGAAAAATCTTGGAAACACTGATGCATTTAATTTGTTCATTTTAAAGGAATTACCTGATATTATGGAGACCTTATGTTATTGGATAATTTGTGTCATTTGAAAAAATATCCCTTTGGTAAATTTCAAACATATACAAAAAGTGAGCCCAGTGTTTACTATGCCAGCTTCACCAATTCTCCCCCCCATAATCATATTTCTTCCATATCCCCACCCCATGCCCCACCCCAATACTTGAAGTAAATCTCCAAACAGGTAATTTAATCTGAAAATGCTGCCATTTATCCTCACAAAAGCTATTTTTAACTGAAATATCACTGTTATGTGTAAAGCCTTGCCTTAATCCTTGTGTGCGCCTAACTGTATCTATGTATACATGCTAGTGTGTGTGCCTGTGCACATGTCTGTACATAGGAAGCAGGGCAGAGTCTGACATCAAAGTCTACTTCTGTCGCTTTCCACCTTAGTTCTGGGGACAGGGTCTCCCATGGTCAATTGAGAGTCAAATGTTAGATTAGCGTGTGTCAGCAAAACGGCCTTTAAAGAGTGAGGCAGAGCCCCAGAGGGCGAAAGTTCACCCAAGTTTAAGCCTCTTCAGAGCCAGCCAGAGAGCCATTTCAGCATCTGTCTGGATACAAGCAAACACAGACTTAGCTGGGTTCTGGGAGTTCACCAATCCATCAGCTTGCTGCCTGGCCAGAGGGCCCCTCCTTTCTCTGCTTCCTGAGCACTGGGATTCCACGTGCAAACCACTGTGCTGGCTTTTGCATGTGTGCTGGGGGCCCACACTCAGACCCTAACGCTGGTACAGCAAGTACTTTACCAATGGAGCCGTCTTCGCATTACCTAGTTTTAACACTTTAATCTGTACTTGTAACCATTGTGTGTATGGTGCATGTGTGAAGACACACGTCACAACATGTGAAGGCTTGAGGGCAAGGGCATGGAGTCAGTTCTCCCAGCTTTACGAGGATTGAACTCAGGTCACCAGGCTTTTGGGGCGAGCATCTTTACCAGCTGAACCGTTTTGCTGCCTGCCTTCCCCCCCACCCCCACGAGTCCCTTGCCTTAATCTTCAGTACCATCCCATACCTTGTCTACGTTCATATCTGCAGAGCCACTTCTGCAGACTCATGGAAAGAGAAAGAAAAAGAAAGAAAGAAAGAAAGAAAGAAAGAAAGAAAGAAAGAAAGAAAGAAAGAAAGAAAAAGGGAGGGAGAAAGGGAGGAAGGAAGGAAGGAAGGAAGGAAGGAAGGAAGGAAGGAAGGAAGGAAGGAAGAAAGAAGATCCAACAGTGCTAGCGACTGAAACTGGCATCCGTGGCCTTGTTCCTCCCTCACACTGCCACAGTTTTTAAGTACAGCTGATTCTGTTCTCAGCAAAGTCTCCCAGATTCTGGGAGCTGCTCACTGAATTCTGGTGGTACAGCTTAACATTTTCCTGCACCTTGTTGCTAGCTGAATAATTGGCAGTTGGATCTAGGGTTCCATCAGGTTTGGATCTTTCTTTTTCTGGAAAGCCTAAGGTGTATGATGGTGTGTTCAGGGGTTCTAGAG